CCCCAAAACCCCAAAACCCCAAAACCCCAAAACCCCTTTAGATATTAATACATTTGAAATTTTAAAAAATCCAAAAATGTTGCTGACCTTACTGCTGATATCAATTGTGTCCTTGGCTTTGTATTTGTTCAACAAAATGATTGTGATGCCTACCATGTACAGAACCAAATATAGTAAATTTTCAAATGTTAAGATGAGCTCGAAAGCAACCATGTTTAAAGGAGATGCAGTTGAAGTGAAACATAACATTGACAGTGGAAAACATGCATTTTCACATTACATCGATTTGGCTGTCTCTGAAGAACATACAGATATTTACCTAAAGTTTGAAGGCCCAAATCCTGTTTTTGTGATGCTTTCTCCAAGAGCTCTTGGGCAAACTAGCAAGCTGATGCCTTCCAGAATAGACAGAGATGATAGTCTGATCAATCAAAATTTTGGCAAGATATTTTACAATAGTCTCAATCAATTAAAGTCTGATGCAAACTGGAAACTCAGAAGGAATACCTTAATGAAAGCTATTGGACTCAGTTTTGCACCTACATACATTCAGAAACTTCTTGATTGCATGAACAGAGTTGTGGTATCTTGGAAACCTAAAACAACAGTAGACTTTACGAATGAGTTTGCAGCTGTAGAGACCTCCTTTATGACACAAGCTCTACTTGGCAAAGGCTTTGACCACTCACAATTTAAGTTTGATTATCAAACACAATCTAACAGAGTTATCCAAATTACTTTGCATGAAGTCATGGCCAGACTTAGACAAGAATGTGTGTCTAATGTTGACAATAAGCTTGAAGTGTTGCTTCCGTTCATCAACGACTACAACCTTTGTCAGCCATTCAGAAGGATCATGACCAATGTCAAGCATATGAGTACAAAAATCCAAGAATTCTTGCAAGATTCCCAAGACCAAGAGTCTGTTTATGCTAAAGTCAAACAAGAAACTGTCTGTACTGACGATGAGCTACTTGCTGATATTCTGTGTCTTCTGTTTCAAGGCATTGGCTCAACTTCTCATGTAACTGCTTTACTCATGTATTACTTGAACAAACATCCACAAGTGATGGACAAGTGCAAACAAGTTTATGAAGAACACGGAATCACCACCAATGGAGTCTTGCAAACACACAAACTGACTACAGGTGACTTAGAGAACTGTGAATATGCTGACTATGTCATCAAAGAAGCTCTCAGACTGAACACTTCGGTCTCTAAGACTGCTGCTTATAGAACACTCGAAGATGTGGTCATCTGTGGAGTCCCAATCAAGAAAGACAACTGGATTACTCTCGAAAACATTGGATGTTTGCTTGATCTAAAACACTGGCATGAGCCATTAGAATTCATTCCAGAAAGGTTTGATCCAGAGTCTGAGTATTTCAAGTCTCCAATGACAGGAAAGGCAAGGGATCCGTGAGCATATCCTCCATTTTCAGCAGGGTTGAGGGCATGCCCAGGACAAGCACTGGCTAAGCTTGGGATTAGAGTAGCATTGCCATTCCTGATCACAAACTTAGATTATGATATCCAATATGTTAAGAAAAATATTTTGACAACTCCACCTGAAACTGAAGAGGAGCAATTATCTGTGGAAACGCCAATTAGCTTCAGCAATGAATCTCAGCATCATCTTGAGATAGATATCAAAGCAAATAAGTTACATAAATAGTTGATTCAATCTCAAGATTCTAAATTGGGGTTTTGGGGTTTTGGGGTTTTGGGGTTTTGGGG